GGCCGTTGTCGCCGTCACTGCGTCCCACCTCTTGTCCAAAGACATCTGGAATAGGTTCGAGCTCAGCAATGACGTAATGACAACAAGTGGTATAAAATTCATCCAGACATTTTCATAATGCATCTTTAGTCACAGTCACAACGTTGTCTTAGTTTGAGGTTGTGAATTGTTTTGTGTGTGACTGTCTGATGTTTACTTGCTTATTTTTTTAGACAATCTCCGTCTCTGTGTCAGTCCTGACACTGAGCTGCATTGCGCAAGACCGCTGGTACGCCATCTGCCACCCGCTGATGTTCAAAAGCACTGCCAAGAGGGCTTGCAAGAGCATTATTATCATCTGGGTGGTGTCGTGCATCATCATGATCCCCCAAGCCATCGTGATGGAGAGCAGCAGTCTGCTGCCGTCCCTCACAAACAAGACCAGTTTGTTCACCGTGTGTGATGAACACTGGGAAGGTGCGTGATGGATCCATCCATCTATCTTTGCTACTGCTTTTCCTTACAAGGGTCATAGTTGACATTAGAACCTATCGAGGCTGTCTCAGGCCAAAGCTGTCTTGGATGAGGACACCCCGACTTGACATCGGGGTAACAGAAAGAGAATCGCTGGGGTCCGTGCACGACATTGGAAGGTAAACTGCAAAATCTCCCCATGCAGATGATGGAGTCGGGTGTGCATATGACATGGGCAATGGAGACAGCCATGCACCCCTGAGTGTGCATCAATGATTGACACCAAAAACAGTGACAGGGGGGCTATTAAAATATTTTTAAGATGGTAATTAGAATCCGTTCAATGAATTTATTTCCACAATGACTCAGAGAGATTGTCCCAAGCTGGCATCACATTTATGAATCAAGTCCCATGACGTCCACCACACTCCGCGGAGCGCTGAATTTATCTGGATGTTATGTTTTGATCAAATACACAAAATCGCATTAGACCTGCTTTTTGTGCATCTGAAATCTAGTCTACTTTTTAAAAAACAAAAAATCTAATCGGCAGATGTGCCTGGGTGCAAGGCAGAAACGCCCAGTGAGGCATACGGCATCTACCAAACACTCTGAACTTGACCATTGCCCTGGCACGAAAATGACGATGCGCCTGTTTTTACGCCAAGCGCAGACCAACTTCTGTTATCAAATTGTCAGATGAGTCGGGGGTGAGGGAACTTGGTACAATGGAACGCCCAGACAAGTGCAACAGAGTCGACTACATTTGCTCGCTCTTGAGCTGATTGGTGTCGAGTATCTCTCATCCCAGCGTGGAAAGCACCGCAATGGCCCCGCGGGATATATAGCAGCCACCAGAGTTTTTGAGGGGATATATTTTCATGGCTCAAATATATCGGGATGTGCAGGTCTAAATTGCTGGAGAAAGTAGCATTCATCTTTCAACGGGGTGTACCTTTGCACATTGGTATGCCCACACGAAAGATAACGGCTTAATTATGCACTGTTATAAAGCCTCATTTGATGCCCCGGGGATTTGTTAGATCAGTCAAATTTGGCAGTGTGCATCAGATTTCGAACACATTTATTTTCACTTTACATCATGGCGCTTGATATGCTTACAGATGATTAAATGTGTGAAAAGCATCAGCATCTATATCGAAAAATTAGCGGACATAGTGGGTAATTCTCCAAGCTTCATTTTTAGACCTGCATGTGTAAGTTCTGCCCGACAATCTCCACCAACCTGTACTGTGTTTTTTATTATCCAAGAAAGATTGTCGAATCAGACTTCTCAGACTTCAATTTAATCAAAACCTGACCTACAATGTACAGAAATTCATGTTTGTATACATTATCAGTGAATTATGATTTAATATCAAAATCCAATCTTTTTTGTTTTGTTCAATGTCAGAACACATCGACTTGTCTGTTTTTACAAAACAGACTAAACAGTGGAACTTGCCTATTCTATTTCACAATGAAAAAATGTTTCCCATGACACTAGTGAACTCAGTCAGAACTGTCAATCCTTGAGATCCGACAGTTTCCGACACAGTCAAGTCAGCAATGTGCTTTTTGTCTGTGCTCCTTTCAGCTGAGATCTACCCAAAGGTCTATCACAGCTGTTTCTTCATTGTCACATACTTTGCCCCCTTATGTCTCATGGTGTTGGCCTACATCCAGATCTTTCACAAGCTGTGGTGTCAACAGGTGAGCGTACTCTTCCTTCTCAACGCACTGCTACACTTCTCTGAACCATCAAATACGCGGCACTGTATGTCTGCTTACTGTATTTGTGTTTGACAGATTCCTGGCAGCACATCAGTGTTGCAGAGAAAGTGGAAGACCATGCAGTGCTCGGCGGCCCCTGCGGGGCCGGGGGAGTCTGTGCGGGTCAAGACCAGCACCGTTTGTGCTGAGATCAAACAGATCCGGGCACGGCGCAAGACGGCTCGTATGCTGATAGTGGTACTCTTTGTGTTTGCTCTGTGCTACTTGCCGATCAGCGTACTCAATGTGATGAAAAGGTCCGTTCTGCTCTTCGACTGTTGAAAAGTATATCATCAAACCAGTCAAGTGAATTTAATTCAAGATGTTAACTCTTTGACTGATGCTGATTTGCACTTTGCCCGCAGAGTCTTTGGGACCTTCAAGAACACGAGTGACCGACAGACAGTGTATGCTTGGTTTACCTTCTCACACTGGCTCATATATGCCAACAGTGCACTCAATCCCATTATCTACAATTTCCTCAGTGGTGAGTTTGTTCACACGCCCCATTGGAGCACTTGAACGCTAGCTCCCTACTGCCCTCTGGTGCCGTGTTTCCCAAATTTAAGTGAGCTGTTTGCAAAATTTCACACCCCACCACCAAACAAAAATAGCACACCAAAAAGGATTATAGTATTACTTAAATAATGATGATATTCGCAAAAGGGCTGAGTGGGAGTTTAATTCAACACAAACCTGATATACTCACAGAAAGCCAAGATAGATATCATGTATAGATTTATTGTACCTTTTTACAACCGGAGGAGTATTTTCTTGTGTTGTGCCTGTCATTTTACATTCCTGGCGTAGATAGGTGAACAGATATATATTTGGACTTGATAATAATCTTTGGACAAATTAAGTGAAACTGGACAATGATCACGTCTTGTGGTCCCTCGTGGCACGCTAGTGAGTCACGGCAACCTGGTTGGGGATCCATGGTTCGATGGGCAGTCTGGCAACTAAAACTAATATGTAGTTATATTATCTATTGGTTTTTAAAAAAATATATATTTAAGGATTTCTTTATTTGTTAAATCTCTGTTATTATGCTTATTTTTATTTAATTTCTGGAATATTTATATTTTACATTTTTAACAGTTTTTAAAAAAATATATTAATTATGTATGTTGTATGTTTTATTTTTATTACTTTTAAGTGAACAGTTTTATTAAGTATTCTAATTCATATAAGTTGCTAATTGATTGATTCTAGTTTCACGTGTCAGATTCAATCATCAACTCTACCAAAGACGAGGAAGAGAAATAGAAATGACGGTCTGAATCCTTTTTAAAGGTATGCGTCGTTCTTTTTTTTTTTTCTTCGAAATTAATACTAGGCTTTCATGTCCTCTGCGCCGCTCTTGCACTGACACCACCATTAATTCAGCGTCCAGTGCGTTTGCAGCAGTAGTCGTGAAGCAGCATTGCTCGACCAATTACATGAGTGTGTTTCAAAGGATCATGTTCGAAATGTCTCTGAGTGCATTTCACTTTCTTTCTTTTGCTTAGGGAAGTTCCGTGAAGAATTCAAAGCAGCCTTTTCTTGCCATTGTCACGTTCCAGGCCAAGAGAGACCGAAGAGAATAAGCGCCCGAATGAGCACAGACAGTCGAAAGTCACTGTCCACTCATGTTCACAACATGGACAATGTGTCACACATATCAGATCAAATGGTGTAAGATCATCAGCAGATTGCGGACTCTCTTTTCATGCCCAGTGTAAGGCCGTGAATCAGCGCAGGGGTGAGCTAGACTAAATGTTGGTATTTTCGCAGACCCGTACAGCATGGCCCATTTTAAAAAGCCCTTTTGCCTTTGTAGGCGGGAACACAGGTGACTTGTTTTGCTGCCATTTGAAATGGCCTCTCTCATTACCTGTAAATATTGATGTATGAACGTTTTTGGGTTTTTTTTTTTTTTTGCTTTTTACTTCCTGTCCGCCACTTTGTATGCAGCTATGGTTGTTTTTAAAGTTGAGTTGAGTTACAGTAAATGCCGCGAGGCACACTGATAGTCCTTGACACGGCAAAAGAAAACACTGATTTGCCCGGATCCTGTCGCAGGCCGAGGTGCTCAAAGAACATATATAAGAAACTACAAGCCGACCTCAACGGGTGGACGATATTCATTCGGCTATTGGAAGACCACAGAGCTGTGAAGTGGGCACTGGGATAACCAACCGCATGTTTCTAACTGCATCAAGCTGCGTGCATCTCCGAAAATACCAACACTTGGTGTAGATGGCCCTTGGCATAGTTCGACCGCGTTTCGCACCTGACTTGTGCTTGGCACGAATATAGAGCCCTGACATTATAGTACACGGTCACTTTACAGATTATATATGGTTAACGGCTACTCTATCTGTTATGAAGATTGGACAAAATGAGTACCGATACGACCTGTTACACATCTACCTCGATGAAAGCAATTTACATTGGATTTAATTCGGTTTGTATTTCAAAGTAAAAGGGATAATTCTTTGTCATCATTAAAGTAATAATCCCTGAACCAAATCGCTGAGTAGAGTCCCTCCTTGGCTGGGTTTGTGTTGCCCCAAACATCTTTGATGAGATGCAATTTCAAATTCATTCATTCATTCATTCATTTTCCAATCCGCTTATCCTCACAAGGGTTGCGGGGGCAATTTCAAATTAAATTAGAAATTTGAATTGATAGGGACCAATGATCTTTAAAAAGTTCAAAATGTTTAGGACCTTGCTTGCAGGCTTTTTGGTTCATCGGAGGACATGCTAAAAGCTCGTGCTCTGAATGAGATGTTTGTCGAAACTTTTGTGTCCAAACTTTTTCTTTGTTCATGTCAATGTTTCACCTTTTTTTGTTTGATATGCTTCTACTGGGTGTTTTAGTGTCATCGCTGTACACTTGACATCACCAAGGTTACTTGCTGACTTTGTTGCGAATCTGTTATGTGTTAATCTGTTTTAAAAAAAGAGATTATTTGTACTGCTTTGTACTTTTTGGAAACTAAATCCTGCTGTTGTCTTACTTAGTGAACACCTGTCTTGCTCGCAATTAGGAGTTGCTAAGTATCTGTATAGTTCTTTAAAAATAGTGTCTTATCATTGAAATATAAAGGATCATTCGAACCCCATGCAAAAAAATAATAATAATAAGAGAATAGAATCGTATTGTTCCAGAGAAAAAAAAGAAGTTGTAATTTTACAACCAAAACATATATGAGAAAGAAATGGAACACAATGATAATAAATAGCCAATATTATAAAGTGTACTTTTGTGAGAATAAGTCATATTATTACAAGAAATAATTGCAATTTTACACAAATCGAATTAAAAAAGAGGAAAAAAAAGTCAAATTTTATGGGAATAAAATCCATGTATTATGAGGAAACAATTTGAATATAAGCAGAATAAGGGAGTAATATTACAATCAAAACTGTCATTCAAAACTGTCATCTGTGCTGTATGTGGCAATTTGACAATAAAGTTGTACTTGACTTGAGAGAGAATATATATATTATTATCATTAATAAACTCAAAATATGAGAAAAAAGTATAAAGACCTTTCACGGTAATGTCATTGCTATTATGATAACCATAAAGTTGCAATATTGCCAGGAATAAAATCTGAATTTTTGGAGAAATAGGACACACACACACACACACACACGCACGCACGCACGCACGCACGCACGCACACACACACACACCACATTTAATTAAAAGCACATTTCCCCAAGTATGCTCTTTGATCCAATGGGGCCTTATCTCCCCCCCCCCCCCCCCCCCCCCACCCCTTCTAAATTCAGCAGGGGATTCCTGTCATTTAAACTGTGAAGGAAAAGAAAAAGTTTTGGGTCCAAATCACGACACAACAAAAACTTCCTCTCGGGCAATAGTAAAAAGATGGGGTTTTTTTTTTGTTTGTTTGTTCTTTTGAAGGGTGTCATTCGTGATGCGCTGAAGAATAACCTCTTGCTCCTGAACGAAAATGTTCTTCAGCAAACATCAAACATGAAACACTGTTGATGTTGGCAAATTTCCAGAGTCACCCACTTTCCTTGAGCTCAGATATTAGGCAGAACAGAATAGTGATTTCATATCAACCTAATGTCCATTCAGTGTCTTTTATTTATATATGCTTATGCACATGGTATGTTGTTGCATCAAAATGTATTTGGTGACTATGTAATTCATTTATTTATTTTACTTGAAATGTGGTTGAATAAATGCATTCCTTTGATCTTACTGATATCTGACTCAGTTCTTCAGAACTACAGTGCAGTAAGTGGTGCTTGACTTACAAGACGATCGAGAGAGGGTACCTTTCCATGCACATCCGCATCAAAAGATAGTTTCTTTTCTTTCTTTTTTTTTTTTTAAATTACCTGTGCTATTGGGCTGCTTGGTCCTGGAGAATATTTGATCTGTTTATGGTGGAACAGTTTTTCTGTGCAACAGGGGAGAAATACTCCTTTCTATGGGTCTTTGTATTGCAATATTTATTGGTCAAACAGAACGAAATTTGTGAGGGAATAGACAGAAAAAATAGAGCAGCGAGCAAAACTGTGTAAAACAAACAACAAAAAAAGATTACCAGATTAACACAGTATATAATTATTGTAACATTCAATGTTTGTGAAGGAAATGCAATGCCACATGCCATTATAGAAGAACTCATTTTGCCGCAGGCAGCTGAGAGGATTCAGAATCAGATTTGGCAATGTTTTTGATTGACAGGTAACTTCATCACCATTCTTTTGTTTTTTTAATTGATTATACATTCCACAAAATAAAACGTCATTTTGTGCATGGGATTGGACATAAGACGTTTTTAACGTTTTCAGCCAATCGGCTTGTTTACAGTGAACATAAACTGACTCGAGGAAGTCAGAGGTCTGCTAAGTGAGGCTCCAACATTTAATATACAGTCGAGTGACAATTTAATACTAGAGTTGTTGTCATGAAAAGCCTCACGCGTATCACTCAGACGAACAACCATTCACACTCACATTCACATTCAATGTAAAGATTGAACAATTTGGAGCGTTCAGTTAACCTAACAAGCATGTTTTAGGAAACGTGTGAGCAAGCTGGAGTACCGGGAGAAAACCCATATAAGCACGGACACAGCATGCAAACTCCACACAGGGAGGCTGTAGCCTGGAATCAAACCCTGAACCTCTGAAATGTGAGGCAGATGTGCAAAACATTCGTCCACCATGAGATTTATATTCATCATGGGTTTGGTAAAAGAAAAAAACCTTCTCTCATACTTGTTAAAATGAAGGCAATTTTGGGACTGATTTACACTTGAAACATCAAGTCAGTGGACATGACTTGCATGCGTGGGCCACATATCTTGATGAGGTGGGCCTTGAGTTCGACAGCTAAGATTTAACTACAGTATAGATTTGCACTTTAGGCTATGCACGTATTGGGAAAGTTTGTGATTTATTTTGAGCGTGGATTTTTTGGTCAAAATGAGAAAAAATAAATAAATCACACAAGCTAAGGCAGCTAAAAGAGACCATGAATGAATGAATAATTTTGGCTTGAACTAGCTTTGAGGTGTTAATAGGTTGGATGCGAAACGCCATATCAGGGGAAGGGATTATATACTTTGTTTATCTTGTGAAAGGTGCAGCCTCTCTGTCAATGTATTTGGGCTCAATGTGGGTGTGTATCCTGGTGTTCAGAATAGAGAAAGCAACAGCAGCTACAAGCAGTGCCTCGTTTACCCTTCGAGCAGCCGCCATGCAGAGAAAACATATACAGGCCGCTCTGCTTCTTGGTGAGTCTCACTCATTGAAATTTGGCACGGGAGCAGCTATTGATTTCAGCGTTCAGATCATGTGGAGAAATTGAAGAGTGTGCTTTTTATTCCAGGACTCATAATTGCATTGATTTCATCCCTAGCCTAAAGTTATGCATATGCTCAGAAAATGTGTGAAACAGAAATGAGATTTGTCGCATTGGTATTTTACTTTTGGTCATGACAAATGAAAGACGGTGATGTAGTTGAATTTATTATTTTTTTAATAACCTCAAATATACATGGCAAAGAGGGGATTGCTGTCTTAAATATAATAGTCTTTGATCTCATATTACACTTTTATAAGGTCATGTTGAAAAAAAAAATTAGAGTGTTGACTGTGTGTGTTTAAGAAGTTGAATTGAGAGCTGGAAATGATGCCAAGCACTAAACTACCTTAAGTGATATGAATTAAAATAACATATTTTTTACGTTTTTCCAAACCGTTCCTTGTTCATGTTCCAATCCGTACATGCCCATCTGTCAAAATCATCATCAATATCACCTCCATTCAGAGTTTGACCAGCGACTGAATCATGTTGACCAATAATTTCCTTTTTCTTTTCTTTCTTGTTTTTTCATTTTAGGATTTCTAGTTCCATACGTTTGCAACGTCGCCAGCAAGACTTCACACTCCGACTGTGCGACATGCATTTCACATTTATGCAAAAAGCAAAAGGCACTTTTTACTCGGATCTGTGAGGGTAAATGTATGCTTTTCTATTGTTTTAGAGCTGTGTTTGAAGTCTTCTTGTTGCATTATTGAAAAAATAATTACCTTTTTTCACTAACCTCAGCGCTTGAAGGTCTTTCATCGAATTGTTTCTTTGCTTGAATCGCTTGGGCTAAGCCTCTGTCTATAAAAACTCAATAGACAGACAATATGCAATGACTTCTCTCCCCTCCCTGCTGTGCGCACATCAGACCACCTGTTGCAAACAAGCGTGTGCTCGCATGTAAAAAAACAAACAATCTGTTTCTCCATTCTTCAGAAGTGCCTGTTTTTCCATTCTTAGGATGCCAAATAAAAGGCACAGAGGTGTGTAACCTGACAATCCAGGCTGCATTAGACCGATTTGCCGGGCCGCCAGCGTGTGTGTGCGCCTGGGAGGAAGACGGGGACACACAAGAGCTGCTGGCACAATGCGAGTCACAGCCAGGTGCAGTATTTACCACATCCATTATTGCTGTTTACCAAAGGCGATCATATGGATGAACAAAGGATTTTGTGGCACAAATTAACTCCCGGGTTAACAGGCTTTCATAGAATTTGATGGGACTAATCACTTTCATTGTTATTTGTGGTGTAGCTCCACACAAGAGAAGCACACTGAGTGACTGGCAATCAAGCACTCTCATTGAATTTGGTAATGATGCTTTTGTCTCACACAAAGCGACGTGGCATTGATGCCCCTCTAAGACAAGACGCGTTGCATGTCTTTCTTTTCGTAGAGGATGCTGCTGGATCATGCACGCAACAAATGAGACTTTGTGTGAGTGACGGCGTGTGCAACAAGAATTTGGCGCCCGTCCTTCAGACTTGCACGGCGTCCCAGTGCGACCATGAGAGCTGTGGCCAAGAAACTCAACGTTTCTATAGTAGCATGCCGCAGCACGTAGCTGAGAGGCTAGTCATGTGCGAATGTGATCCTTCAGATGCAAGTTGTTTACAAATGGAAGCAGCCTTGCATGGCAGCGCATGTGGAGACGAACCTTGGATCTGTCAGGAAGCTGTGAGGCGCTGTTTGGAGGAGCGGCGTTGCAGGTATGCAGGGTGCATCATCCGCTGACGAACAAAAAAAAATACCGTCTGCCTCAAATAGATGCGGCTATTGCTCACTGTCATGATCTGTGATGTTGACTATGTTTAATTAAGAATTGTCATGTTTTCCCTGTTTCCCTTTGTCAAGTCTTGTTTTCCTTGTTAGCTTTTTGCTTGCACCTGTTCTCCTCAGCCCTGTTCCTCATGCCAACCAATCAGATCCCTTCTCCAGCCGCTCGTGTCAGTCTTGTCTAGGTGTACTGTACTGTACCTCAATATTGTGCATGTTTATGTTGTGTTGCAGGGAATTGCTCACAAGTTTTCAAGCCAAATGCTGGAGCTCTGCGGAATCATATTGCGGTGACATCACTCTTCAAAGTGAATGTTTGCGCTTCATGGACCCGGCTCTCATCCTTGGAGGAGATTTGGAATGCAGAAAGGCCTTTGTGGCACTTCTGGGCACTCCACTGCACCATCCGTGCACGTGCGAACAAATACATGGTGCTGATCTCGACACATGTAACAGGATTCATGACGTGCTTCACAACAAATCACACTTCAGTGAGTAAAGGGTCCGTGATGCACAGCCAACACGTTTTATAGACGGACAATATTCCAATATTTTTCATTTCTATCTTAAGAGACTCACTGGATGAGGCATCATGGTCCTTCTAATATTCCTCCAATCAATGAATTAGACGAAGCTCACAGCGGGCTATCCGGTAACTGTCCATATAAATATTTCATGCTTCACTTACCAGTAATAATATTTTTTTTTTCTGCATCTAATAGCTGCAATTGTTATTTGTCTCATCAGGTTATCTACTCTATAGCTGCACGGCGACACTGGTGGTGGGAATTTTGGTCGGGCTTGTTGCTCTTTTATGTAAAATGCGGTGAGTTCATCAAATATTTTGCAGCTAAAGTCAACAATAGTCGTCGTCGTGCAAATAACGTCAGTTAGGCAAAGTGGAATCAAATTCATGTGAAACAGTGTTGTCTTTTCCAATGTTGGAAAAGAAGCACCCCTTCATCTCTCCTCGACCTGATGATGTCATTCAACAAAGGTGAAGGAAAGGTGGCATAAAGATGAGGAGACTTTCAAAAGAGGCCGCTGGTTCATAATACTCAAAATTCACCGACACGTACAGGTCTCAGCAGAGCCTCAGTACAGTATGCCTCAGTGCTGGTTCTTGTAAAGTCTGCTATGCTAAGTTTACATTCATATGTCAAAGCATAAAATTTGCCCAATGATGTGGCTTGCATCTTTCGAAACTCTTAAGTCGGGCTACTCGTATCTCAAGACACCACTGAATATGTCCCGAATAGATTCCTGCTCCTTGATGGAGGCAAGAAAGTAAATGCCACTCACTGAGGAAGTACAATTTTTAATTGACCTTGCTTTTTGTCGTAGGGTGGTGAGAAGAAACAAGAGACGGGACAAAACCAGATTCCAGCCACTTCAAAAAAGTAGTGGCATCGTTACCACACAAGAGTTTCCATAAATATCAAATCAATGAATTTTGTACCTATTTGAACTCTTATCAGACAAGAGGAGCCCTTGGAGGATTTATCTTCATCTTGTCTGTCTTTTTCTTCAATTTGTTCATATTTCGCTGTCTGAAAGATGTTCGGGTGCATAAAAAGGTAAAAGTAAAAAAATCAATGTTCAATTCTTGAACGAATGAATGCACGTTACGCAAGATGCATGAAGTGTGTCCAAGGTTTCTACAACAACAGTGAAAAGTGTTGAGTTATCAGCTTTTTCAAACAAGAGCAAATGTGAATTATGACGGTGATGTGAAAGCAAGTGAGGCGAAACAGACCTTCTGATTAGATTGAACATTTCCCTCCGCTGCCGTGACTGCATGATGGGATGCAGCTGCAGCGCTGGAAACGCACATCTCCGATATCCATCCATTTTATTTAATTTTTTTAAATACAACTTATCCTGTTCAAGGTCACGGGGAAGCTGGAGCCTATCCCAGCTGTGTTAGGACGAGAGGTGCGGTACACCCTCGACTGATCGCTCATCTGTCATTCCCAACACTGACACATAGAGACAAGCATTCACACCTCTAGGCAATTTAGACCTAAAAATAAGATTCTTTTGGACCGTGGTCAGAAACCGGAGTACCCGGAAAGAACCCACACAAGCTTGGGGGGTGGTGGGGGGCATGCAAATTCCACACTGAAAGGTGATGTGCGGCGGACCTGCTAACCACTGGTCTTCAAAAGTGCAAAAGGCACCACATGCAGAAACATGCTATACATAGAAAGGCCTTGCGGTTTTGGAAAGAGAACACTCCTACTGCAAGAGTGTAGAACGGAAGAAAAATACAAAGGGGGAATCTTTCTATTTTTGTGCTTCATTGGCTCACCATAAGAAAGGATTGTATTAAATATCATTTCCACTCGTTGTGGTCAATTGCAATGGTAAAATCGGATTTGGTTCTTAAATCATTCAGTTTATAGGGCAGATGGTAATGGATCATCTTTACTAGAGTGATACATTAGTGGTTCCTGGATGGATACAAGAATTCCAATGGCCTCAAAGGGGAAAATGCATTCATCCCACTTGGCAACGTCCACTACACCACTGCACTGTAACATACCTCTTGCAAAGCTATATGCAATGCTACAAAAAAAAATAAATTAATGCTGATGACAAACATGGCGACTATATTTGTTTGTCTCGCTTTCACATGATTGAATATTGCATTGGTTCAAAAAGCCTCCATTCATGGACGGGTAGACTAAAAAATAAATGCTGACCCATGGGTTAGATCAGTGTTATTGAGCAAAGGCAGATGCAAGAAATATCTCATGTCACATCGCCAAACAAAAATGGCACAAAAGTATATGCTGTATATTTTGATGATATTGCTTGTATTTACTGACAACTTTACATAGTGAGATCTGGGGCTGTTTGGTTGAATACAAAAGTGACACCTGCATACTCACATGTGGTAGATTCCTAGGGCCCTAATTTGATTCCCAGCACAAGTCTAGTGCAAACCGCAATGCAACTGTGTGCATGGGTGTTGTTTTCTTTCTTTTGGTATTTTCCGAGGCTTTGTACAGGAAAAATTGGGCATAAGGTTGGCATTTGTGCAATTGTGTGCCTTTGTGAGATGGAACATAGCCAATTCCCGTCCAATGGAAGAAGCTCTCCTCATTTGCATTAAAATGGGCAATCTAAGCACACACACAAACACGGTAAAAAATGGTGTGTTGAATTTATTCAATTTTATTTCGTCAAGTGGATGCACAAAATAAAATCACATGGATCCAGTTACACTTTTTAAGTAGATGTGTTGTGTGTCTGGATCCAGATGATTTTTATTTCCTGCCAATCACTTGATTAAATAAAATTAAGTAAATTCAAGAGAATCGTTTTTCCCGTGCAGTGCTTGAGAGCTTGACATAGCGGTAGCATAAATAGATTTGCTGGCGTCCGTGCATGACATTGGCGCATCTAAAGTGTGTTTATTCAGGTAAACTGCAAGATCAGCCCTTGTGGATGATTTAGTCGGCCCCGCTTGTAACGTGGGCAACTGGAGCCTGCCCTGCCCCCATGACCGTGCGTCCGTGTGTGTGCTGACACACAATCGCCCGTTTTTACGCCTATTGCAGTCTACTTTCTCTGATGAAAAAGTCAGGGGCGAGGCAGCCCAGTGCACCAGAACACCAGTGAGACGCAGTGTGGTCCCATACACACGAAACTAGACTGCGACCATTTTTATGAAGCGCCTGTCTGCCAAAATAGGGCTCCAAATCTCACACAATAGCAGCATTTTTATTAGAAGAGGACAAAACACCCAAAGTCAAAGAAATACTGCACTGAAGTCATTCTTTCTACGTGTAGTTTATTTTTCTCGTTGAGGATCTAAATAGCTGTAATGGATGTTACAGACACAACATCTGGCCAATCCCCTTCATCAATATTTTATAAAGTGCCTGTCGTTTTCCAAACGATTTTGATTGATGCCTCCTAAATAGGTTAGCAACGCTGCTTCCATTGTGTATCTCTTCACCCCCCACCCCCACCTGTTATTTTCACCTTTCTTTGTTTGATGAAGTGATTTGATCAAGGTGCTGATCATCCTCAGGGATGTTTTGAACATTGTCACTGTGAAATGCGACTTCAGAGACACTGCTGTGCTCCATGCTTGCTATTTAGTATTTATGGGCATGTCAAGAGAGACCAAGCTGTTGCACTTCAGCTCAGTTTGATTTGAAAATTGTCTGTCCACATAATGGAGTGAATTTTGCACTCTGAGCATGATCGTGCTTGGCTTTCTCAGACGAATGCTAGGGGTTTGTCTCTGTATAGACGTGAAGAATTGATTTATTTCAAATTGAAAGTCTGCTTGAAACTTGTACATTTCATGACAGTCGGGAGTCTTTCTTATTCATTCTGTTCCAATATTTTTATTGTACATCTGATCATCCTCATGGTAAAACATCAAAAAATACCTCCGCGATCGTGAAGTCATTATCTGTGTGTGCGCAGCATTCACACAGGTATTTTTTGGGAGAATTGATTCTTGCATAATGATATTGGACTTTTCAGGAAATCAATTATGACATCTTAATAAATGTATGCAAGTATATACAATTGTTTCTTGAACCTTCTTCATTACAGAGATATAATTTGGGCAGGCTGTACAGGTAGTTGCTGGCTATGAAGCTGGTGTTTTAATTGTATTTGATTGACAGCTGGGAACAATGAATGGTGATTAAATACTCTATTTGAGTTACTAACCGGATGTGCTTATCTTCAGCACAATATTCTTGATCAGAATTGCAGAAAATTATTTGAGTGTTCACGAAACGGTCAGGAGTGAATACGATCTCGTGAGACATCTATGTGTGAGAGATCTATGTGTCTCACAAGATCGTAAAGACTAAGTGTGGTGCCCACGGGCACCACGTAGCCCCCATGGATCACATGAGAAGCCGGGGAAGCTGTTTCAGAAATAGATCACCGGTGATAGGATGGGACAATGTATTTACTAGAAATGTTGTAGAAGCCATCATTGGAAAATATGAAAAGTGGCAGAGATTTATAAAGCTAATGTAGCCTTTTGATCATTATATGGTTCTTCATTATTGTGAGCGGCACGGTGGGTGACTCGTTAGCACGTCCACCTTACAGTGTGGAGGTCGTATGCTCGAATTTAACTCCCTGCCTTTCTGTGTGGCGTTTGCATGTTCTCCCCATGTCTATGTGGGGTTTTCTCCGGCTTCTACGGTTTCCTCCTACATTCCAAACACGTGCATGATAGGTTGATTGAACGCTCTAAATTGTCCTTAGGTATGATTGTTAGCGCGGATGGTTCTTTGTCTCAGTGTGCCCTTCAATTGGCTGGCAACCTGTTCATGGTGTACCCCACCTGCTGCCCGAAGCTAGTTGAGATAGGCTCCAGCACACCAGCAACCTTTGTGAGAATTAAGCGGATCAGATAATGGATGGATAGATAGGATTAAATATGGTGGAAGATCATGAACATGATCACTGTCTTCTCATAAATAAATGTCATTAATTATTAATGACATATGATGGAAGTTAATTGGAGCAAATTTATGGTCATTGAAGAAGTGAGAACAAACTGGTTGCCCTTCACATTAATCTGTGCCCAAGAAATAGCACTCACTTTCAGAAAGGTTGGTGAGCCCACCTTCTAGGTTTCTGCTACCTTTATTCAGTCTGCAGGTATTGTAATACAGTATTCGTATGACAAAAAAGAAATCATGACATTTAAAGTGATTTTACCAATCCTGAGAATAAATTCTGCAGAATCAGAATCTAAATTCAAGTTCATATTGCAAAATATTGGAAGGTAGCCTTTTTCACCAAAGTTTTCTAAACATATACGGCAGATATAATACATTCTTATTTTAAGAGGCTGTAAATGTGAAAAATAACGAGGCACTATACCCATCTGCTGGGATCATTAGTGATATGAATGTAACTGAGATGTCAGATGAGCAGATGACTGCAAGCCTCGAAAAAAGGCCACTCACTATATGTACGCCTTCTTCTGCAGCTCATTCTAGCATGCAAAGCAGAATTCCAATTCTGATCTTGATTGCTTTCTAAACATATGGCAGATATAATACATTCTTATTTTACGAGGCCATAACTGTGAAAAATAACGAGGCACTACCTGTATATCCATCTGCTGGGATCATTAATGATATGAATGTAACTGAGATGTCAAATGAGCAGATGACTGCAAGCCTCTAAAAAAGGCTACTCACTATATGTACGCCTTCTTCTGCAGCTCATTTTAGCATGCAAAGCAGAATTCCAATTCTGATCTTGATGATGAGTTGGTATTAATGGGGTCAGCTTATTTGAATTAGACATACGTTAAATGTCAGACACATTCCTACCCCATTGCAGTACAATTGCCTTACACAGAGAATGCAAAGACAGTCAAAACTGGCAAAGCTCTCATCATCAAGTTGAGTTGATTTTTTTGCGGGGGGGGGGGGTGCGTACAATTGCCTTATCACGACATCCCGCTGACAGCCAAAACTGGCAAAGCTCTCATCATCAAGTTGAGTTGATTTTTTTGGGGGGAAAAAAACAAAACAATCATCAAGATCACGGCATCCCGCTTCTTGCCTGAGCAACTTTGGAGTTTGTCTTGCGCTGCAAAGCAGTACAGATGAAGTCGCCTGCCTCCAGGACTTTGGCCAGGTTTACCCCCTTTAAAAAAAAGATAATTAAACATTAACTTTCAAATTCAATATTGGGGATAATAATCCATCATTTATTTAACGGATTGATGACAATTGTGTGGCTCGTGTGGAATGAATTATTGGTGGAGTGCACAGCTCAAAGCAGCCGAGATACTGATCACTCATTCACTCGCAACTTGTTTGTTGTCGAAACGAGTCGTTCCCAACTGTAACGCAGCAAAATGGCGCACTGTCAGAGCTCTTCAGGTACGCCAAGGGAAATGATCCAGTTTAACTTAATGAGCCCCAATATGATTATTTATTCATGAATTCCTGATAAACAATGTGTCTTTGTTCATCTATCTTTGCCATTGCTATTTAATGAGAGGCACAACAATTTAACACTCTTCCACTCGATGGTAGAAGGTACAATTTACCTGTTCATCCACCTGTAGCCATTCCTACAAAAGAATCATAGCTTGGTGATCGACTGACCAGGCCCAGATGTCACACAGAGACAGCCAATTTGTGAGCACAATTAGACGAGCCAATTATTTCAGTTCATGTAGCCTACTTTTTGTGACATTATTTGGGACATTATTCAAATGTATAATACAGTTCCATCAAAGTATAACATGACACTTGAATGCTGGTTTTACGGTATACGTTGACACAATATGTCAGTTGAAAGATATCACACACATGATTAGGAATTAGGCAAGTGAAACGTCAATCGAATCGTATATATGAAATATTTCCACAACAAATGAAAAAGGGTCAAAAATATTGTTTCAAATATCTCTCTGCAGTGGAAATGGCCACAACGAAAACATGACTGGCAGTCGACAAGCGCCGCATCCCACCTGTAGTGAAAAAGTTCCACCAGCAGGGGTAGAGATTGTTAAATAAATACTTCATGGGTCAGGGCACCCAATACTGTGGGCGCATGAACTTGTGCAAAACCACTGATGTTATAAAATAAACACTGACAGAAAAGTATGTTTGCAGAGCTATATGTTTACGTAAATGGACTCTGGGAGATTGTATGAGTCGGGCCACTGTGCTGGAAATGCGGACACATAAATTACAGCAGGTCTGTTGGAGTGTGCGCACTCACAGTGTGGATGCCCATGCCATGGAGCATGTAGAGAACATCCTCTGTTGACACATTGCCAGATGAACCCTGAGCGTACGGGCAACCACCCAGGCCGGCCACTGCCGAGTCCACCACACACACTCCCATCTGCAAGGGCAAAATACAGTACAATACAAGTCCCATTTCTCGGCTTTAATGTACAGTCCATTAATGTATTTACTGTACTGATTGCATATTTTCCACATCCAAGGTGCTACAAGTCATTTATGTTGCCAAGGCGTCAAGCTGTCAAGAACACAAAGGAGACACTGATGGGTTATCAAGGCGTCATGAGGCACGCAACTTCCATTTGTGAAGATTTGTTTGGAATTTTTCCAAAGAAAATAATGGAACGAAAGACAGCAACTGTCTTATAGAATCAACCACGAGTTAACTGCTGTTCATGGCATGTCAAAGTAGTATGCGCAGTAAGGAATATCACCTCACATGACGTTATGCATGGCAGCTATGGAAACATCATGCATCACATGGGACTTTAGTTCAGTGAGTAATGTGTTCTGCTTTTATCGGGGTGGCGGGGGATGGGGCGGGGGGGTAGTGTCAGGTCAACATTGAGAGGTACCATGTGATGGCAAAGAAAAAAGGATAAGGGGCGGCCAGCATAACTGCAATGTAAAAGTGGTAGCGAACACACTTGTGCGACACAAAAAGAATAGAAAAAAAATGAAGAGATAGTCATAAATGAAAGGCTTGACCCTTGGTCACGGTACACCCACTTAACAGTAATTCAAAGGCTAGCAAGCCACCGTAACAAATGTAAATGAGCCTATCGACTAGTATTGAGTCATTCTTTTGGTTCCTGATCCTGTTTGACTTACAGTGTGTTAGGCTCAGGTAAATGGTCCATTTCACTTGTTATCTTCCTCCGAAGGCTTTGATCGCTTCATAGCTTGTCTTTTCTGTTGCTCGGATTCATAGCGCAGAGCATTCTTTTGATGATGAAATGGAAAGCACGCTTTAGTCTAATCAGTTTGGTATTTACTAAAGCTAAATATGCGGTGATGATGAACTCTCAGTCAATCCATCTATCGAACAGTCATAATCAAGCAATCATTTTTTTCCCAAAAATGTTTACGTTTTATTTATTTATTTATTTTTGCTTTAGTGCTAGTTTTAGTTGTTTGTTAAATATATGGAGTATTTGTCAAATGAAAGATTTGTGATTGAATGATCAACAATGCAGACGTGGAACTTTGCTTATGTATGTAACTGCTTCCGCCATCCGCCACAGAAGCGTATCACTAGTTTTGCCAGTGACGGTTGCGAATTACAAAATTTATTCAACTGCTCGTCCGTGCCAAGAACATTTGTCAAACAAAAATAGTACATAAATAGAGGTACATTTTCTGTGAACATTTTGTAATTTATTTGGGGGGAAAAAAACAAAACAATCATCAAGATCGCGGCATCCCGCTTCTTGCCTGAGCAACTTTGGAGTTTGTCTTGCGCTGCAAAGCAGTACAGATGAAGTCGCCTGCCTCCAGGACTTTGGCCAGGTTTACCCCCTTTAAAAAAAGATAATTAAACATTAACTTTCAAATTCAATATTGGGGATAATAATCCATCATTTATTTAACGGATTGATGACAATTGTGTGGCTCGTGTGGAATGAATTATTGGTGGAGTGCACAGCTCAACCCAGCCGAGATACTGATCACTCATTCACTCGCAACTTGTTTGTTGTCGAAACGAGTCGTTCCCAACTGTAACGCAGCAAAATGGCGCACTGTCAGAGCTCTTCAGGTACGCCAAGGGAAATGATCCAGTTTAACTTAATGAGCCCCAATATGATTATTTATTCATGAATTCCCGATAAACAATGTGTCTTTGTTCATCTATCTTTGCCATTGCTATTTAATGAGAGGCACAACAATTTAACACTCTTCCACTCGATGGTAGAAGGTACAATTTACCTGTTCATCCACCTGTAGCCATTCCTACAAAAGAATCATAGCTTGGTGATCGACTGACCAGGCCCAGATGTCACACAGAGACAGCCAATTTGTGAGCACAATTAGACGAGCCAATTATTTCAGTTCATGTAGCCTACTTTTTGTGACATTATTTGGGACATTATTCAAATGTATAATACAGTTCCATCAAAGTATAACATGACACTTGAATGCTGGTTTTACGGTATACGTTGACACAATATGTCAGTTGAAAGATATCACACACATGATTAGGAATTAGGCAAGTGAAACGTCAATCGAATCGTATATATGAAATATTTCCACAACAAATGAAAAAGGGTCAAAAATATTGTTTCAAATATCTCTCTGCAGTGGAAATGGCCACAACGAAAACATGACTGGCAGTCGACAAGCGCCGCATCCCACCTGTAGTGAAAAAGTTCCACCAGCAGGGGTAGAGATTGTTAAATAAATACTTCATGGGTCAGGGCACCCAATACTGTGGGCGCATGAACTTGTGCAAAACCACTGATGTTATAAAATAAACACTGACAGAAAAGTATGTTTGCAGAGCTATATGTTTACGTAAATGGACTCTGGGAGATTGTATGAGTCGGGCCACTGTGCTGGAAATGCGGACACATAAATTACAGCAGGTCTGTTGGAGTGTGCGCACTCACAGTGTGGATGCCCATGCCATGGAGCATGTAGAGAACATCCTCTGTTGACACATTGCCAGATGAACCCTGAGCGTACGGGCAACCACCCAGGCCGGCCACTGCCGAGTCCACCACACACACTCCCATCTGCAAGGGCAAAATACAGTACAATACAAGTCCCATTTCTCGGCTTTAATGTACAGTCCATTAATGTATTTACTGTACTGATTGCATATTTTCCACATCCAAGGTGCTACAAGTCATTTATGTTGCCAAGGCGTCAAGCTGTCAAGAACACAAAGGAGACACTGATGGGTTATCAAGGCGTCATGAGGCACGCAACTTCCATTTGTGAAGATTTGTTTGGAATTTTTCCAAAGAAAATAATGGAACGAAAGACAGCAACTGTCTTATAGAATCAACCACGAGTTAACTGCTGTTCATGGCATGTCAAAGTAGTATGCGCAGTAAGGAATATCACCTCACATGACGTTATGCATGGCAGCTATGGAAACATCATGCATCACATGGGACTTTAGTTCAGTGAGTAATGTGTTCTGCTTTTATCGGGGTGGCGGGGGAGGGGGCGGGTGGGTAGTGTCAGGTCAACATTGAGAGGTACCATGTGATGGCAAAGAAAAAAGGATAAGGGGCGGCCAGCATAACTGCAATGTAAAAGTGGTAGCGAACACACTTGTGCGACACAAAAAGAATAGAAAAAAAATGAAGAGATAGTCATAAATGAAAGGCTTGACCCTTGGTCACGGTACACCCACTTAACAGTAATTCAAAGGCTAGCAAGCCACCGTAACAAATGTAAATGAGCCTATCGACTAGTATTGAGTCATTCTTTTGGTTCCTGATCCTGTTTGACTTACAGTGTGTTAGGCTCAGGTAAATGGTCCATTTCACTTGTTATCTTCCTCCGAAGGCTTTGATCGCTTCATAGCTTGTCTTTTCTGTTGCTCGGATTCATAGCGCAGAGCATTCTTTTGATGATGAAATGGAAAGCACGCTTTAGTCTAATCAGTTTGGTATTTCCTAAAGCTAAATATGCGGTGATGATGAACTCTCAGTCAATCCATCTATCGAACAGTCATAATCAAGCAATCATTTTTTTCCCAAAAATGTTTACGTTTTATTTATTTATTTATTTTTGCTTTAGTGCTAGTTTTAGTTGTTTGTTAAATATATGGAGTATTTGTCAAATGAAAGATTTGTGATTGAATGATCAACAATGCAGACGTGGAACTTTGCTTATGTATGTAACTGCTTCCGCCATCCGCCACAGAAGCGTATCACTAGTTTTGCCAGTGACGGTTGCGAATTACAAAATTTATTCAACTGCTCGTCCGTGCCAAGAACATTTGTCAAACAAAAATAGTACATAAATAGAGGTACATTTTCTGTGAACATTTTGTACACACCTCAAACTGTATATAAAAAGGACCATTGTTCCTTAAGTTCCCACTGTAAATACATTTTAGATGTCATTTCAATAAATTTTTGTTCATCAAGATTTTTATTTTTACTTTATTTATTTATTAACCTTAATAACCTTGGTCTGGAGCCCTGACTTTTCATACAAAAAAATGCAACTCACACACTCACACACACACACACACACACACACACACACACACACACACACACACAAATACAAATTATAAATAATGATACAAAAATCTAAGGCTGGGTACAGAGCATAAAGAACACCGGCACGAAGCCCCCAGCGTCATGGCCTATCTGTAGCCACCTATGATGACTGACGACCTAATGAGGCAGGACCGTGGCCACAGCCCATCCCAGCAGAGGCTTCCCTCGGAGACAACAATGAAGACATGCAAAATGATATTTGAAAATATAAAATCAATGAGAAATTAAATGATTGAAAATATAAAGTAGAGATCTTAATAATCTATCATAATAAAACAATAATAAGTACCAGTAAATAAACAATTAAGTATTAGTTACAAGCATAATTTAAAAGGTGGGTCTTGAGCCGGTTCAAAGCAAGAACTATGCAGCCCTGAGGTGCGCCGGCAATGCTGTTTCAAAACTGTAACGATGCATTTTTGTGAGTATGTGTTTCCTTAGGAATGAGTGAAAAGCCAGAGGACCTCTGTGAACACAAGGGTTCACAGCTCTGAGAGATTAGAAAGGCCCAAGAACATAAAGAAACTTCAAAACCAGTGAAAGAACCTTAAAATCGATCCTGAATCACATGGGGAGCCACGACACTAAGTTTAAAATGGGCATATCTTGTGGCGCAACTCCAAATGCAACTTTTTTTTAAATCATTGTTTCAGTAGCCATTTGCTGTCCTCCAGTCAGCACGAGTCACTCACTTTCGACCATCCGAAACCGGACGTTCTGAATTGGCCTGTTATCACAAGACTTCGGCTGTGGAATAAATGATTTAAAATTATTTCGAACCAATGGGCAAAATGACATTTTAACAAACTGGATGTGGACCGGTGTCACCGAACAGAGCCTGGTTGTCTCCACAGCAGACATACTCACAACTGTCATCCCTGTCTCTACTCAGGTAAAATTCCTGAACAAAGATCCTTCTTCAGTTGGATAGTTTGCCACGACATGCAGCTCCCTGCCAAGGCTGCGGTGGTGCTTTGCAACTGTTTAGGAGGACTGCAGCATCGAAAATGAGCATGCACAGAAAGTCCCTCAGTACGGCTTAGTCATCCTCTTTGTCTGCGTCTGGCAGCGGTGCCATATAGTAATAGCCTTGTGCAAATTCTCGGTATGGAGCGCGACATTTCATATGGTTCTGATTCCGCTGGTTACTCATGTTTTCACAGCACTACTCTGTCCTGTCCGTGCTACATCTAGGAGACATTTTTGCCTTGGTTAAGAGGGTGTCCACTTACTCTGTTCCAACAACACAGGAGTTATAATATTACTACACAAATGTGCCGGTGTTGCAAACTATAATCATTACTGTCATGCGTTATTTCCCTGATCCCTTCAGGATAAATGTGCCCAATTTAGAATCGTCGTAGCACATGCACATTAACACGTATACGTTGTATAGTGTTGGAGGGAGTAGACTGTACTGAATGTACACACACGAGCCAGGCACACTTGCACAACTGAATGAGATCCGGTGAAAGAGATGTATCAGAAAATGTTGCCTCCATGCATATGATTGTCAAAACGATGCCGAAATTGTGAAGTAGTGCACACTCATCCATTCTATACAGCGTGCATCATGTCCCCACACCACAGCTCTGTGTAATAGCTTGGCCCTTTCATGTAGCAAAGTAAGGCCATCTTGCCAGGTGAAGTGCAGTTCTGCACCACCACAAACTATCCAATCACAATCAAAAGCATATTGTTAATACTGTCAGTGCTAATCCTCTTCGCTTTTCCTCTTCAGGGCCATGAGTAAATGGAAACTATGGTCGGTGACTTCGGACATCTGGTCCCCAGTGAATCACAAAGTACTCACAGTATAGCAAACCACCATTCACACTCACACCAAAGGAAATTTTACAGTTGAATGTGGAGAAAACACAAGGGGAAAACTCAAAAGACAGTTCTAATGGAGATTGGAGTAACTATCTCATCAAGTGAAACATAGAGACATGCTAACTATCATCATCCACTGTGCTTCCAAAGTAAAACGTGTCATCAGTTTTTTCTTTTGTTGACTTAATCGCTGCTGCAAATCATCATTATTGTTCTGTTTTTGTTTTATTATCAGCAACCACTCCAAATGTCTGGCCTCCATATGACATTTAATGATGTGTTTTGGAAGGCTAGCAACAAACAACTTTATTACCATAACACGAGGACCCCAAATCTAATGTTGACTCTGCATGAAGAATGAATCTGGCTTGATGTGTTAATGAAAAACTTCGAATGCCCCATTTTCAATAAAAAAAAATGATGACGCACCAAATATTTTCAGGATATTTTCCACATGTCCTGGGTATTATCGTGAGAATATGAAAGATGTTTTCCAGCTTCCGCAGCAGAGCCAGATGTCAGGGGGATCCCACAGGGAGACAAAATTAACACACTGATACTCTCAGTGGCACTGGGTCATGAAGGACTTTAACCCCGCGGAGAAGGATCAAGCAAGCAAAATTAAAAGACAAGAACGTACTTCTTTCAGGGGCTGTCTAAACTCGCCGTAATTGCTGTTTGTGTTGGCAAGGCAAGAGGTAGAGGTGGGGTGGAAGGTGGCGGGATGGGGGGGGTCTCAACTTTGGTGTGTTCAGTGCATGACATTTCCAGACCTTGGTTAAAGCCAGAGCAGGATATTGTACTCGGCAGATTTTTTGTGTTGTATAAACACAGAGTTGTAATCTACCATGCCAATCCTCTCACTTGCAGCTGCAGAGCACGCAGGGCTGGGGGTCTTCGGCGTACGGTTTCCGAGAGGAACAAAACAGACCCTTCAGCGGTGTGCCTTGTTCATTTGGAGGCTAATCGTGCGAGAACCGGTGGTCAGCAATTCGGGCTTGCCAGTACTCGGTAAGATTCATTGTGCCCAGAAACCAGATGTGCACTCGGCATTAGAAAGCCATATTGACCGAGCTGTGGCTGTATGAAAACAATACATTCCTGTGTAAAGACACAGTGTATTCTGAAACAGGCATGATTTTCGGATTCGCTTGTTGATATTCTACACTCGCACTTGACGAGGCTCAAGACGGACAAGCTCCCATTTTGGTTTTACACGTGCGTCAGAGAGACAGGAAGAGAGAGAGAGAGAGAGAGAGAGAGAGAGAGAGAGAGAGAGAGAGAGAGAGAGAGAGAGAGAGAGAGAGAGAGCATATTCATGGCATGATATGAAGCAGTGATGCTTTACCCACAGCTACATAAACCGGCAAGCTGAAAGAGGCTGTCACGTAGCTGCGGCCGACGCATATATCAACTTTTTTCCTGGAAAACATAAATAAGCTTACAGTCACCAAGCAAAGCCCAGACACTGGCAGAACAAAACAAACTTTTACAAGACTAAATAAATTATATTTCCACCTTGTGATTTATTTAAAAATGAAAAATTATGAACTGTGTCATCAGTTTTCTTTGACACGGCTTCCTGAGTTTCACGAGTAAGCACACCTCAGTCACACTAAAATCAATTCCTGGAACACGTTCTCGCTAGGAAATACAATAAAATGAGATGGCACGTCACGCTTCATTCCATGATGCTGTTGGCTTAAAGGAAAATGGGGAATAATGTACAATGAATGAAGGTCTTTTGGGAGGTATATAGAGTGAAAGGTTTGAAGTAAACTTATGGCACTCCGAACTGTGACACAAGAATAAAGACAAGTTAACCATTTCATAATCAAACCAAACTACTCACACAGTGTTAGACATATCATTGGCTCTCCGATGAACTGCTCCTCCATTTACACATCTCGGTGATTGCCAACGAATACGAACGAAATACTGTCAAAATCTTCATTGATCAGTGCGAACGTCGCTTGCGCAAAGACCTTTTGGCTGTCATTTCCTTATAATTAGTTCAGCATGCTTAGATAAGAAAGCAAAATTAAAGAGACAGCACATTTCAGTATTCACTGCACACTGTAAATCTTTTTTTTTTCTTGTTGAAGAAAATGAAATCATTTTTGGACTTCTTTCATCCGATCATTCCCAAATGCAACCGGCATTAGATTTGTGATCAGATGATCAAGGATGCGGAGGTGAAAAATCTGCCCACATATGCACATATGCAATGGCTTTACGCCTCATGCCGCTGAAGGATACAACTAGTTTTCAATTTATTGCAACGCCTTATGCACGTGGCCAGTGGTTTACGCAGCATGAGAATATACAAGATAGACGCATCCGCTCGTCCATGCCAAGACCGTTCTTATGTCGAAAATAATACATTGAGAGGTAATTCTTCTACAATCAAAGGTTTTGGTGCATAACCTGAATTGTTTGCAAAAAAGGGCTGTTCCTAACTTGAGGTTCCATTGTACGTTCTCAGTTCTTACAATCAGTCTGTTGATGGGCTGAATTTCATTTTTGGGTTAGATATATATGAAGAAGAACATATCCGCATGTCTTTAAGTTAGAAACTCACTCTGGTTAAAGAAGACATTTGCACTATAAAGAGTCACTGTCGTCTTGTGCTCAGATTGTAGTAATGTGATTTTTTAAAAATTTGAACCATGGGATAAGTGGTTTGGATAATGGATGGATGGACATGTTGATATGTTGACAATGTTTCGTATGGATGGTAAAAATGTTAATTATAACCATGTTAGTTTAAAGCCTTATTAAGGTTCGCATTACACAGATACTGCCCATTAAGAATTACTCATTTTGTTTGCCATGGCTGTGAAATCAAAGTACCTAAGTTGTCATTGTGTGAACTGCCAGGAGTGCGGCAGGAACAAAGCTGCACCGCCCCCTGCAACCCCTTGGTACTTTGGGGGGAAAAAAAGGTACAAAGGCTAAGGAATGTTTTTATCAGGAACAAAAGAGATGACTCAGGGCTGACAGCACTGGGGGAAGTCATTTCTTTCCCGGTTGGTGGTGTGGACCTCTGACACACACTAATGAAAAGGTATATGATAAAATCTTTCATTTCCATCTTATTTATAGGTGAGCAAATGGTTGACTACTAAATAGACCCAGCTGCTATTATCTTCATTGAACACGGCGATGCTGAGATAAATCGTTTTAAATATAATCCAAGAAGGTTACCTCCCTCTGTTATTTTTTTTTTTCAACCACACTATCCAAGTTGAAAAGTACAAGTTAAAGTGTGGCTACTTTGATGAAAAACCTAAAAGAGCCAATCATATTTAATGAGTGGCATCTTATTTTAAAACTACATTATGATAGTGAGGAAATGCTATGGGAATTTGTGCGCGTTTGTATGAAACGGCAATAAATCCCTACTTGCTATGCATTACTTAAAATGAATGGTTTACTGCCCAGTGAAATAAGTTGACGGCAAAGCTTGTTCCTGCAGCTGCACCACCGTTCGTCACATGCGCGGCAGAGAACGGATGAAAGGATCATTTTCCAGCTGCATTTAAATGCAGCATTGTCAGGAGAGCCATAGATGAGTTAGGATCCCCCCACCCCCAAAATCCCTCAGGGCTCTTCTATCCTCCGAGCTCTCAGTTGTCTTGTACAACAGACAGTGAATAGGTGAGCCTTTGTGACCCACCACATCTGCCGACCCCCCGCCTCTCCTTCACTGAGCGGCGTTCGGTGTGATGACAATGTGACCCAAAGAACTTATACGGCCATGCCTGCATTACCTGTGGATTGATATCAATTTGAAGGCTGTTTAAAATACTGCCAGACACTTAAACAGCCTCCTGTTAGCCATCGGGCTATGCGGCATTTGACTACCACCGTGCATGGTCGTTTTATTCTCCTGTGGAAGTCTTTGTACGTTCATTGTAGTTTCAGGATTGTATTTAAGCGGGGACATTTAGATCGCATTACTTAATTCCCCTGTTGGCTGTTGACGGACAATTCCTGGCTTTCTGTGAGCTATTGTAACCCATGCACAGATTTTGTGCCTCCTGCGTAGTTGCCTAAACAGAGGATGCATTCATGTCATAAACAGCGACAATGTCATGGATCTACAGGGAGTTATATTGCATACGATATTGTCTCGAATAGTGGTCCCCACTCGGGTTGACATAGCGGCTAAATTAGCCGCCAAGTACGTCGTCCACTTGTACAAATAAACGCCTCACCACAAATAGACACCTCCTTTTATACCCTGAAGAAAAAAAAAGAAATTACAGGTGGTACCACGAGGTAGCTGTAATTACATTGACTATAGCAATGTTTCCATGAGGCGGTGGAGTTTGGTTAACGCCGCAGATAGCAGAATGAGCTCCGTGAATAGTGAACAAAAAATAAATAGTAACACAAACGACTTTGTGGCACTGTTACCGACTGCACATAGCTGAGGTTTTTATCCTGTTCTGTAAAATACCAATATAGCATAGGAAGCAGGACGTGCTGATTAAAAATACAAAACAAAAAAAATAACGCTTTGTTCTTTAATAAAATGACCCATGTGTGAATGTGAAAGTGTCATAAAAAGACATGATTTGAGCTAATATTTATGAAACACGAAGATCCACTTTGTCCTATGATTATTAGAAACAACAGTGATAATTCAACTTAAAAACATCTGGAATGAATCTAACAATGAGTGATGTTTTGTTTGATATTTTTAACAATCAGCACAATCAACGGTTGAATCTATCACCATTGTGATCGCTGCTGCATCATTTTATGTGATCACTTTTTAAGTTTTCCCAGAACAACCCCAGCAAGTATTTCAGAATCAATTTTAAAAAAATGTCTTTGAGTATGAACGTACAATATGTGACTCTGAATGTTGTGAGTTTTCACCTGAAGTGCGGTGAGGATGTTTGGCAAGGCTTGGCCGTATGTGTCATGGCAGTGAACTGCAAGAACACTGGCCGGAACCTCCTTCATGACACACTGCAGCATTTTACGCATGGAACCTGGAGTGCCCACGCCAATGGTGTCCCCCAGGGAGACCTCGTAGCATCCCATCTCATACAATCTCTTGGCTACCTGAGAAGAGGAGGAATAAGATGAAGGGGAGAAAATTAGGATACAGAAAATGGATCCACGAAATCTACAGTATATAGTCGACCAGATTAACCTCGGCAACTTTGGATGGATCAATCTGTCCTTCGTACGGGCATCCAAGGGCACAGGAAACGTACCTGTAACAGTACCTCTTCAATTAAATTATTCACACAAAAACCTTATTTAAGCTATTTGACGTCTTAATTTCTGCTGTTGAAATGGTGTGGGATAAATGTTGTGCATTGTAGGTCCCCCCCCAACAATTTGTCCTGTTACCTAATTCATGTATCACATTTTAGTGGAGGTTACTTCGTTAATTCCTGCTCAGGACTTACGTAACATTTCAATTCTAACAATGGGAATTTGGTGAGAAAAAGTCTTGAGAGGAAGTGTTTGGTTTTGAAAAAGAAATATTTCTTGTAAACTACACATTGTTCTGTATTATATTAAAAAAAAAAACATGAGCGTCGCTGTGCAACTTCCTTTGCAGATGTAGCTGCGCATGCATTTTGGGTCACCATTTGCTTGTGTGAATAGTCAATCAACACTCCTACTGCAAACATCAACCCAGTCCATTACAACATTTTTGTTGGGTCATGATTTTATATTTGCTATCTTAAAAAGATTTATCCTGTGAACCTGCCTTCAAGTTAAAGCAAAAAAAAAAAAAAAAAAAGCCTTTTTTTCCTGGGTCACCCATGAGTGACAAATAGAAAGCGTACAAACCCACGGACTGGAATCATTTTTGCTTTGGCACCCTTGACAACCTCGTCAAACCTCCGCATGCTTTCATCAATAGAGCAATTTATGTTTTTCAAGCTGAAGGTCTCAGACGCGGAGCCAAACACTGCCACTTCAGTAACGCCGGCTGCAACCTAGAGCGAGAGACAAAAATGCCTTGTAAAAGGCTTTTGAAGCCTGTGTTACACATCATCGATAACAAGCATGGCGAACGAAAATTCATGAAGTTGGTGACCACTTTTGACCACAATTCTTCAAGCATTCATGTGACTCACAGCGTCCTGAAAGCCTTGCATGTTTGGTGTTAATACCGGGTACTGAACATGAGGTGCTCTCTTGATTCCTGTGAGAACCTCAGTGTGGTCGGCCATCTGAACAAAAAGAGGAAAACGCAAAGGTATAAAAATAAACCTTTCATGTCAACAGAGCTCCTTTCTGAAAAGAAATTATTCTCAGTCAAGCTTTTCACATCCCTGCACAGACCATTAAGGCCAGAGTTGCTTGATGTCATATTTCCTTAAAATGAACAAAACATGTTTGAGTGTCCTTCTTAAAATAAAAATGCAATTTATGACGGGAAATGTAGTCCTTCTGAATCTAAAAGGATATCTCAGGAAAAACATCTGCGGCTCCAGCCGGGATGCAGGTAGGCCACGCAAGCCAAGACACACAAGGAAGAGAGCTTTACAAATTGCCTCGGTACGCTTTCGCTGCGCATCAAGCGGACTTATTACCTGCGGTACCCACTTTGAGGAGACGAAACTGGTGGCTTCGATCACACGCAGGCCTGATCCCGACAGCATGTCTATCAGCTGGATTTTAACTCCTGTCGGAAGAATTTCCTGGGGGGAGAGTAAAACCCCAAAACTACTCCTTCTGGATTTGATTCCATTCACGCTGGGAAGTACAACATAACACACGTTCAAAAGAACCCTGCAGACACGAGACATCGCCCGTCTCTTTTAAGTAGATGCTGTGGTAGAATCTGTCAAAGTGTTGGCATGCAACAAGGATCGATTCAATGGTCACATCCTAAGCAGAGAAAACGAAGCCAGAAACCATGTCCTTTCTCTTCTTGAATTTCAAAAGAAAATGTAAAACATATGCTATGTTAATCGCGGCGCAGAACCCATATGTTGTGCGTTTTATGTAAGAGAGACAAAAAAAGGTTTATTGTTTCAAAGAATCATTAAGGACAACACAGACACATAAATTGTGCATATGGAATAGAGGTAGCGGTGCATACCTTTTCATTTTGGAGTCCATCTCTGGGCCCAACTTCAACTATTTTCACACTCTCTGGATACTCAGAAGCAGTCTAAAGAAGAATCAAGAAAAGAGACAAATATAACCCAAGCATTTGTTTTCTCAATAACTCCTCAATGCCAGAAGACACCCAACGGTTGTAACTATAATCATGTCAAGCATGGGAACCAAAGCCATGTTTCATGGAGAAAACACTCAGAAAGATAGGTCAGATACGGTTCCCCACACGAACCGCAGGGGAAATTCAGAGGATCATGGGATTTCTGTGTTTGGAACCAAAAACTGCAATCATCTTCATCGTGAAGGCATAAATGAACACTTCAACAAACCATCTAATGTACAGTTTGTGTCAGCCTCTTGCAACTGCTTTTTTTTTTAACTGGCCACATTTATTTCCTGTAAATCTCCCGTGGCAAGAGCCTTCACACAAGAGTCTTAGCGTAAGGCTAGGACTATGATTTCGTATTTTGTTAGCAACTAAATACATCTTCACAGTTGCTGTCAGAAGAGAAGCTGAAAAACACCTTACCCATTCACAGTTTGAAGGCCACATTCATGTCGTGCTTGGTGTATAAACAAATACTTGGCTTGATAGCTTAATGAAAAAAAAAAAGAATAAATATGGGGTACAACATCATTTTACGGTCTCGCTCTCAATGCCTTTAAAATGTATGTTTCACTTTATATGCTAACAGGTTTGTCAAAAACTCCTACAAATGTAATGTTTCTTTGTCAGGATCAATTGTCATATTTTTTAAATGTCAACTCTAAATTGTGGTTATTAATTTTCAGCTCTCCCATAGGCTGCTGATGCTGACATTTTGCTACACTTTATCACTAACCATCGAGCGGGTTGGAACGAGGTAGCGGGTTATCTGGTGGTTTCTTGGCTTCTAACCACCCAGTGCCCCTTTTCTCGAAAGAAAATGAACGGGAACTCAGAAATACACAAATAATACAAGCTAATACAATTCGAACACAGCAGGACTGTTTCTAAAGTGGCGGGCAGCAAGGGAGATGAGATGCAAAAGAAGGACACCCACCTCTGCCTCCTCCAGCAGCCAACGTCTCAGCCACGGATAGTCCTGGATGAGTTGGTCATAGCTCAGGCAGTGTTTCACCGACGTGGGTAGGTTTCCCATTCGAAGGCCTGCTGCTTGTGCTTCCTCACTTCCCAAGACTAAACGGCCCTACCCCCTGTTGTTCGAAAGCTAATAAAGCTAATGGAAGGATCAAGATTAATATTCCCGGATGATGCAAGGCCTTACTAACCAAAATGGAATTAGAGGACCGCCGCTGACTGGGGAGGATGATTCAGCAGTTGCCATGGCAGCCACCGCCCAGCTGGGAAGGGATCAAAACAGAGATGTGCGGGGAGGTGGGAGCAGTCTTTTTTTTTTTCCTTTTTTTTTTTTTTTTTTTTAATGAAGAAAAAAATAGACCAAAAGAGGGTGCTGCACATTGGACTATGACTTGCAACAATGTTCAGATTGCCAAATGTGAATTCTGGACATGCCTACTAACAAATCTGAATAATTCATCCGAATTCTGATTTGTTTTCGTAAAATTGAGTATTGTACTTGGCTGCATCTGGCAGCAATGACTTTTTGGCCTGAGGATCAACAACACGACATCAGCGAAGGCTCATATCCACACATACCTATGCTATGATACAGCCCATTATGGCAAAATGAATCTGCTCAGCACCACACTGGCATATACGGGATCGGGGCGGTACAAAATAAAAAGCTCAAGGAGCAGACAGGACTGGGATTTGTCCAGTAGAACAAAAAAAAAAAACAAAAAAACCCTACGACAGATGCGCAGCCATTTTTATTATAGCTGACCTTCAAAATGGAAGTGGAACAGGAGTGGAAGTCTGTCTGAATGGGAGCAGAACAGGAGTGGGAGTTATTTTCACTGGGAGCAGGATAGGAGAGGATATATTCTTCTTTTTAAACAGTGCCAGAGCCTTTTCTGCTGTGGGAGTGGGATGGGACAGAAGTGACATCCACTCCAGGGTGTCTGAGCACATAGTGGAACACATACATACAACTTCAAACAACTTTTTATTCACTGCGAATGTATTTGGGCTTTGCAAAATGTTTATGAACTCGGAAACGATAAATCCACAATCCCTTCAATTTTGACACAATCACTCCTTACTCGTTGAGTTAGTAATAAAGTAATATTAACGTCATCGTCAACTCTTTCTTCCTTTGACAGAAACATGATTAAGCTACGGGGGGGAATTAACTGTTGAATTAAATGAAGAATATCCAATTATCCTATGTGTCCAAATTTTACGGACACCCTGTACAAAAAGCCATTTCCAAGTGCTTTATTACCTGTCTTGGTATTGATTGCATTCGTGGTAATGGAAACGTTTAATTCATGTGTTTTACCAGAACAGTTGATTTACCTTGGAGATGAAATAAGATTCGGCGAACATTTGCCCCAATGTTTCTGGTGAAAATGTAACATTTCGCGGAAACAAGCTACTTTGATTAATCCCCCGTGACCTGAACAGTTGAGCGGTTTCCATTGCCAGACGTGCCACCACTGCCAATGTCAACTGCATGGTGTAATAAAATCCCTTGTTAAACCAGATCAACAGAGAAAGAGCCATTCTTCTCAAGCCAGATGTTAACAATAGAGAGGCTTAATGAAGTCCTTGCATTCAACCATTTCAGTGCACTCAAGGAGAGACCTCGAGCTCCCTCTCAGGGGACTGAGGCGACCATGATGTCTATCAGTGTCAACCCCCATCTACAAAAAGATTTACCCCATGATTTCCTCTCATCATGAAACGGAAATCTCCATTGCATTTCATTTCGTATCTCACTTTTTAAATGTTACAGGTGAAAGTTGCAGGTTTTAATCTTCAATTCAGCCTCAGCTGTCAGTGAATGACTTCTTTTTGGTGTTTCTGGATTCATTCCAATTGTATGTGTGCTAACATGAGCTAGCAAGGCATATATTCATATGATTTTTTTTGTATGTATCTGGCATCAAAATATTAATGTAGGTCACTGTACACTGTACATAGTGCATTGTTTTCTATTAGTCTCAATCAGCACTAAATTAACTCATTTTCTGCAGCGTATTTTCACAGGTCCCCTCTCATGTTAGCGACCAAAAATCAATCGGTTGAAATAATTTTATTAGGTTTCACAATATGTTTTATTTTTTTCCAGTAGCCGTACCTAACTTGAAGTCTGTTTTTAATATATAATATTCACATGTATGCAAAACAATGCTATGTCAAAGTACCGTATTTTTGGGACGATAAGTCACAATTTTTTTTCGTAGTTTGGCTGGTCCTAAGACGTATAATCAAGTGTGTCTGTTCGGACAGGCAGAGTGTACTCCCCTCCCATTAATTTGTGAACGCTGCCTATGTTATAAAGAAATCAGTATCTCGTGACTGAAGCATTTTCATCCGTACTACTTGACTCAGTGGGCTCCGTCACTCTGAATAAAACCAAAAGGCACATTTGAACAATACTCGAAGTTCCCCCACACTCGGTGCATTTTTCAGAACGCACCCACAATTAGAGAACGGGTATGTTGGGTATGAGACTGAGCGCTACTGTTCTTGCTGCCCCCCACCACCCTGAAAATGCAATTCATACTCTGGAGCGACTCATATGTTTTTTTTTTTTTCCTTCTTCATGAATTTTTTTGACTGGTGCGACTTATACAGTCTGAAAAATACCGTAAAACAACACATAATAACTATAGGTTAGTAGTTTTGGGTGTCCACTGTGACAAAATGTTGGCCCTTTGGGTACTTTAAAATACCGTATGGCCTTTTAACCACTGGTAATTGCATCAGTCACTGAACCCTGACTGGCCTTTTAACGTATCTTTTTTGAGGAAACTCAGCAGCTCCGGTTTATCTTGACAAATGCCAGCTGCAGCGAGTCACTTGAAACGAGTGGCCTTCTGGGGCTTTCAGGAATGAATGCAATCCACGTTTGTCAAAAACCTAAGTCAGCTTTATAAAAGAGGAAAGGTGGTAAAATCCTGTTAAAACAGGGGATTTATCTTTAATAAATGCATCCATTTTTCAGTTTCACAGTGACATTCAAAAAGATTCTACACTTTGGAAGGCTAAAAGGTTGACATAATTTGGCCTTTATACTGTACACCAAGAGAGTGAATTTGAAATAAAACAGATATAACTGAAGGGCAGACTGATCTTTAAAAGTAAAAGATGGAATTGAGAAACAAAGTCAATTATGCAGATTATCTCAAACTCCAAGCAAACAAAATTTGTGGCAGCCAATGACTGCTTTAAGAACCCATTCAATTGCCACATTCAAGTGAATTTTATTCCTTGAGGTGTGTTGGGTTGAGCATTAGTGGCAGTCCCACTCCCCACCAGTAGAGAGCACCAGCGTGGAAGGGACTGGGAGCAGACTACGAAGAAGCTGAGAGAGTGACCTTCGAAAAGGACAGAGGGAAGAATGAAGGAATGAAGGAAACAGTTTTTGCTACAGAGATATCTAGGCGAGTGCTGAATATAAAAACCTGAGTTACAATACTATTATTAAAAGTGACTCAACGGTTCATGGGCTCTTCTGATCAGTCACCAACTCAACAAGGTGCTTTCCAAAGCCTTGACTGCAGCCAGGAAAATGTATGTCTGATTGCCTTGAAATCAGACTACTTACTGGATCATTGAAGAATACTGCATTCCAATGGTTTGCCTTCAAAACATTTTGAGTGACACAATTGGCCAATAATTGTCCATACTAGTTAGCTTACATATCTTGACTTTCGCCGCATGCGCTAACTTTCAGACAAACTCCACAAAACTGAGTATGCCGGGATCCCACTGTAATTCCTAAATGCTGAATCCAGTATTTTGGTGACTTCTGTCACATCTTGATTGTTCAAATTCAAATCCATTTTGATTGTGTATCAAGACAAAAATGGTGCCATTGTTGAAAAACATCTTGGACTTAACTGCACTAGTTTGTGTTTTTGAACCGGAAAAAGTAACGTAAAATGGAGCCAGATGTTAAAAACAGTGCTTTTCAGTGGGCATGTTTCAGCGTGGCATAATGATAGTTTAAATCAGATGTGGCGTATCTACAACCAATGGGCCGGAGATGGCAAGATCCTTAAATTTTGCCCCCCACACCCTCATGCCTTTCTCAAAACAAATAAAACCGCAAAAGAACAACCCGTATTATAATCATTTGACACAAAAATGCTACATATTCGTTATTTTAAATAAATGCATTTTGACGATTTCAGAACTTTATTCAAACTGCAATGGCCCCTGATAAGAAAAGGGTTCCCATGCCTGATGGAATCAATGCAGAAATGCAGTGAAACAAAACAAAAATGAATAATTCTACATACTTCATCCATTCACGTTGCTTGTTTCGATATGAATTGGTTAAGGATAACAACTGGTGTCACCTTTCATTTATATATATATATATCAGAATTTAATTAACACCTCTGTGAAAGTGAGAAGAATCTTTGATATTCTTGTGTGACTTTACATGATCCCGCGGATAGTGGCTCATTTCAGAATGACAGAGGAGCGAGGCGGGAGGAGGTAGAAATATTTTGGACAAACGAGGCGACGCTCTTAGCTATCCTCATTTCAGACGTATACAAAAATATATATATATATATATATATATTCATGTTAAAAAAAGGAAATGGTTAAGAAAAAACCTAATACAACAATAACTAAAACATTTATTCTGAATAAGTTAACTTGAACCATACGTTCAAGAGTCTGTGCAAAGACAGTAAACATTCCTTGGGTATATGTTATAAAATTTCATTGAATTTCCATTATAAGCAGATAACCGCAGATGCTTTTCAAGCTAAAATGAAAAGCCTTGATTGTAGCATTCTTTCCGGAAGGCTGCTGCTGTCAGCCAACTTTCCACAGTTAACCTTGGAGACAGCATGTGTGTTACACATTATCTTCACACGGAGGATCCCCATGTTGCTTTTAGTGCCGAAAAGTCACTAACCTTTATGTGAGGTTTACGGTATGTTCACATTATATTGAATAGTATAATCATGTAAATTTGCATTTCGTATGCAAGTTGTCATCGTTGTGCTTACAGCTTGGTGTGCGGATAGTTTTGTGTTTTTTTTTTTTTTTCTCCATTTGGGACCTCATAGGTAATTTATCATTGCAACTGGATCATAAAAGACTTTTTATCGGTCCAATATGCAAGGAAACCAAGGGAGCCCCACTTGGCTTAAACCAGGGGTGAGAAATTCAGGATCGTTATCAGGCTTCGACTGAGCTTGCTGATGAAATGATCATTTGAATCAGGTATGTTGAAGGAGGGAAAAATTTACATGCAGGATAGTGGCCCTCAAGGACCGGAGTTGCCCAG